AGCATTTAGTTGCAAAATGCAATTCGAGTTCCGTATGTAGCAAGTGCGCCAGGAAACATCACACGCTATTACATTTTGAAAATAGCAACATAGCGGCGTCAAGTAAGGCGAATAAGGAATTCACCCCTACTAAGGTCAACGATTCTAGTGGTCGACCTGATGATGTCGCTCTGTGCTCATTGGCAAATATGGGAGCACAACCTCCTTCAACCGTGTTACTGGGTACGGCGCGTATTTTGGTTAGGGATTCGCGTGGAAACAAACAAAGCGTCCGTGCACTGCTGGACAGCGGAGCCCAAAATAGCTTTATAACACGACAATGTTGTCAGCGCTTAGGCTTAGTAATAAATAGGTCACTTTCATGTCCTGTAGTTAAAGGCATCGGAGGTACTAGTAAAGCGACACAGGGATATATAAATTTAAAATTTTATTCTCGGATAGATCGTAACGTTAACTTTGATATAAATGCACTAGTAGTAGATAGGGTCACTGAACGGTTGCCAACCGTTTCGGTTGACACCTCGGCAATGATTGAATTTAAAAATTTGACTCTAGCAGACGACACTTACGCCGTTCCTGGAAACATAGACATGCTCATTGGGGCATCGCTTTTCCCTCATCTTTTGTTAAACAATAAGGTCAGGGGCAACTCCTCGCATACCGCGCCTTACGCACTGGAAACCGTATTGGGCTATGTGATCCTTGGCTCCGCCCCCATCCTAGATAGTATTTCGGCAGCATCTTATTGTGGTATGGCTGTCGAACCGCTCGAGTCGTTAGTCCGCAAATTTTGGGAGATGGAGGAGGTGAACGTCCCACCCATAGCTAGTTCAGCTGACAGGATATGCGAGGAAATTTACGTCCGCACGACCGTTCGTGATCGCGACGGTAGATATAGTGTAGCGCTACCCTTTAAGGGAGATGTTTTATCTCTCGGCGATTCGCGTCAAATGGCGGAAAAACGTTTCTACAGCTTGGAGCGTAGGATGCTCGCTTCGCCCCAGTTAAAGGAAGCTTACGACGGCGTCATTAACGAATATATAAGAGAAGGTTACATATCACTTGTGGCTTCGAAATTAGATAACTACGAAGACACACCGTCGTATTTTATACCACACCACGGAGTCATTAGAGAGGACAAACTTACATCTAAATTACGTGTAGTGCTCGACGCTAGTGCTAAAACTAGCACTCACCTGTCGCTTAACGATATCCTCTATAGTGGGCAAAATTTACAGGGCAGTTTATTTGATATAATAGTCAATTTTCGTTTGTTTAGTATAGCACTATCCGCCGATATTCGCCAAATGTTTCTTTGCATAGGGGTCCGTGAATGCGACCGTAGATTCCAGCGCATTTTATATCGTTTCAACCCAAAGGAACCTCTAATGGTGTTTGAATTTAACCGCGTTTGTTTTGGTTTAAAGTCGAGCCCATTTCATGCGTTACGCACGGTGAGACAGCTCGCTCACGATGAAGGTCCCTCTTATCCTAAAGCTAAGAGGGCAATTGAGAGCGGATTATATATGGATGATTTTGTGTATTCGGTCGATAGCGTGGAGGAGGCCACCCTAACCACCGCCGAGGTTATAAGGCTCATGAAATCGGGTCAATTCGATCTTGTGAAGTGGACTAGTAATTCGCGTCCGGTTTTAGATACAATCCCACTATCACACCGTCTTTCGGCGATAAAGGAATTCGACGATTCCGATACACACAAGGTGCTCGGTCTGTGTTGGTCACCAGAGTCCGACGTGTTTAGCCTTAAGGTAAATCCGCCCGTAGAGAAATGCACAAAGCGCACAATACTGTCATGCGTTGCTAGATTATGGGACGTCATGGGTTTCGTAGCTCCGGTGGTATTATACGCTAAGCTTTTGATTAAACAACTTTGGTTATTTGAATGCGATTGGGATGACTCGCCGCCTGACAGCATTGTTCGATTGTGGCAGCGCTTTAGAGAGGAACTTCCTTTACTAAGAGAAATTAAAATACCGCGTCATATAAATGTCGATAGAAATAGCAGCATAACGGTTGTTGGATTTGCAGACGCCAGCGAGAAGGCTTACGGGGGCGTTGTATATTTCCATGTCCAGAATAATGGTAGAAATTCGATTAGCCTCATTAGTTCTAAGTCGAGAGTCTCCCCCCGTAAGGTTGTCTCTCTGGCGCGCTTAGAGCTTTGCGCAATATTAGTACTCACCAAGCTTATTACCACAGTTATCGGCGCATGTAGGGATAGAGTTCACATAGAAAGAATATTTGCCTTTTCCGACTCCACCGTCGCCTTATGTTGGGTTCATTCTTCACCCCACCGTTGGGATACGTTTGTCGCGAACCGAGTGGCCAAGATCCAAGACGAGTTAGAAACGCGGAACTTTTATCACGTGTCCAGTAAGGAAAACCCTGCCGATTGTCTATCCCGGGGACTCACCCCGATGCAAATAATGGACCACCCGCTTTGGTTCCATGGACCTTCTTGGGTTCACTTGGATCCCTCACAATGGCCAATAACCGATTTCGAACCTTCGTCAGTGTCACAACCGCCGGAAGAGAAGAGACACGCTCTAGTGGCGAACGTTTCGAGCGAGGTTTCTCCAATCATTGCTCTGGCGAACCGCTTGTCCTCTTGGTCGAAATTATTGCGTAGCGTAATTTACGTTTGTCGATTCGCGAAGCTTTTACCGCGACGTTCGTATGTCTTAGCATCCGATTACAACTATGCCGAGTCGCTAGTATTACGTGAACTTCAACGTGCACACTTCTCTGAAGAAATTACAAGATTACAATCGAATAGAGCTTGTAGTCGCGCCTTTCAACGCCTTAAGCCATTTTTACAGGATGGGATTGTAAGGGTAGGTGGACGCTTGTCCAACTCGCAGTTGAGTTTCGACCAACGGCACCCTATAGTTTTACCGCGTAAAGACCATATCATGAACTTATTAGTCGATTATCATCATAAATTGAACTCGCACGCTGGCCCCGATTTATTGATGTCGATCTTGCGTCAGAATTATTGGATTCTTTCTGCACGTAGTTTAATACGCAATCGGGTGCACAGATGTATAGCTTGCTTTCGGGCACGTCCCAAGCCGTCATTTCCGGAAATGGCGGAACTTAGATCTTGTAGAGTGATACAATCGGTAAAGCCCTTCACGCACACCGGGTCTGATTTTGCTGGTCCGTTTAAGGTCACGCTCACTCGCGGGCGTGGTATAAGATCCACAAAGGCTTACGTCTGCATTTTCGTATGTCTAACTACTCGAGCAGTGCATATAGAACTCGTTGGTGATCTAAGCACAGCAGGCTTTATGGGTGCATTTAAAAGATTTCTATCGCGCAGAGGCCCTGTAAGTAGATTATATTCGGATAACGGTACGAACTACGTCGGTGCAAAACGTATTCTATCGGAACTACATGAGCTCTTAGCTAGCAAGTATTATAATTCGGAGTTCGCTCACATTCTAGCCGAGAACCGCATTGAATGGTCTCTGAACGTCCCAGCCGCGAGTCATTTTGGGGGCAATTGGGAGACTAATATTAAAAGTCTAAAGAGCCACTTATACCGAGTAATAGGAGATCAAATTTTGTCCTTCGAAGAGCTAAGTACGGTGCTCGCTCAAATTGAATGCGTAATGAATAGCCGCCCACTTTGTCGGACGTTATCTAGTGACCCCTCGGAACCGCTGGCTCTAACTCCAGCACATTTTTTGACTTTAACGCCTCTAAGGTATCTGCCCGCCGCGGATATGGATGAGAACAGACTTAACATTTCCACACGCCACAAATTATTAGATCGGTTAGTGCAATCGTTTTGGAAACGATGGAGGATGGAATACTTGCATACTTTGCAGTCTCGGCAAAAATGGAACACAGCGACAGAGCCTTTAGCTGTAGGAACCGTAGTTGTGCTCACTAAGGAGAATACGCCGCCTCTCCACTGGCCGTTAGGAATCGTCGAGGAGGTCTTTCCCGGTTCCGACGGAGTAATTAGGATAGCTCGCGTTAAGACCACGGTTGGGTCTTACCTACGTCCGGTTATCCGTTTGTGCCCCTTGCCTCTTCCATAATTTAAATTAGCTTTTTTGACTGAAATTGTAGTTTAATTTAGGTAATCTTAGCGTTAGTTAGTTATTTGTTAGTCGATCTTAGCTCTAGTTGTTTAGTTATTTTTTTTTTGAAGGAAATCCTTCAAGGGCGGGGGGAGATGGTTGCGCGGAAAACCATTCGCGTTTTTTATTTTTGACGGTAGGAATTTGTCGAATCATTATTCCCTTCCGAAACAATATCATTCGTACCCTCCTATCGACACATCGGGGTGGTGGGGTGGGAGGGGAAAGAAGACGATTCTAGAACATCGCGTAATCATCGGACCCGAGGATATATAAGACACGCGCGACCGACGCGCGCTCTCTTCTCCCGCCACAGTCGTCGTTGAACTACAACCTCCTCTTCCCGCGCGCTCGTTTGGAAACACCTCACTAGTGGAAACCGCTTTGGCCTGGAAGCAGTCGAGCTCCAGGAACCCGCCTCACCTCGTGTGAGATATCGTCGCGCACCGCCCCTCTCCGGAGTGTTCCAGAAGTCGCTATAGTGATCGACAGGAAGAAGAAACCCCGGTGAGTCAATAATCCTTAATTATACCTGCTTGCTAATAATTTAACCCGCTCCAATTTGTGTTTTTTTTCCTAGTCAAGCAGGATTCCTTTCATCGATTCGACAAGTAATAGTTTAGTTTAGGGAAGAGCGAGTGCATTGTACCGCATGCTATAGTAGTCGCTTCACATAAGCATAGAAGCAATCGCATATACAGTCCACTTTAGTTAATATCTCGCGTAATAGGTTTGAGGTTTGACCGGGGAACTAGATTTTCGGCAGCCTTAAACACGTGGCTCCACCAGTTGCCGACCCATAACTGTCAGACGATAAAATTTGTTTTACCATAATCGTAGGAAGCATCAATTGCTGTAATGAAAAATTATTATATTTTAATTTTTAAGTACTTCAACACCACCACGGCAAGTAGCTACAACTTCGTCATCAAGAAATGTCGAAGACTGTATCAGAGAATGCCCCACCACGTTGGAGTACAACCCTGTATGCGGAACTGATAAAGTAACCTACCCAAATTTAGGACGCTTGGAATGTGCACGCTTATGTGGAATTGGTATGATAATTTCTACGTCTAAATTTATTTTTTATAATTCTTGTATTGTAGTATTATGTATTGGTCCTGAGTATTTATTATATTATATGACCGACTATTGCTTAGCACAGGGCGTCCCTATAGACTTGTAATTGCTGTGTAGCCGTTTCATTAGGATGGTCGAACTAATGATTAGATCGAGCATATATCTACTTTAGGAACTCACGCTATATACGAGGCTGCCACGTGAGAAACTTTTTTCCCTACGGTTATGGATTCTTCGAGTTACATTGTCATTTCAGTTTAACTGATCCCCATTTACCCCTTTTCTATGCGGGCGAATATCCTTGCACGATTTTTTCATTTTTATACGAGGGTGGATTGAAAAGTACTCGGCCTAACCAAGAAAATAAACACATACTAAATCAGTTATATTTTTATTTTTCTACATAATCACCATCAAATTCAATACACTTTTGCCACCTCCCCTTCCAAGCATATAGACCGTTGAAAAAAAATGATTCTTCCTTAGAGTCAAAATATGCGTCTACAGCTGCTTTGACCTCGTCGTTTGTCGAAAATCTTTGACCTCCCAAGTGCTTTTTTAGGTTAGGGAACAGAAAGAAGTCTGATGGTGCCAGATCCGGTGAATACGGCGAATGCGGTAACAGTTCAAAGCCACAGTTGTGAATTTCAGCCATTGACTGTACTGACGTGTGAACACGGGCCTTATCTTGATGAAACAGGACTTTTCTTTTGAGCATTCCTCGACTTTTTTCTTTTATTTCCTCTCGTAAACGACGTAGTAAGGTGCAGTAGTTATCAGAGTTTATAGTCTGACCCTTTCAAGATAATCAATCATAATCACACCTTTCGAGTCCCAGAATACTGAAGCCATCACTTTATTTGCTGACAAAATCGACTTAGCCTTTTTTAGGGGGTGGTGAACCAGGTCTTCTCCACTGTTTTGATTGTTGTTTTGTTTCCGGTGTACAGTAATGAACCCATGTTTCGTCTATAGTAACAAAACGATTCAAAAAATCATCTGCATCGGCTTCAAATAACTCCAAACAGTCGCGTGAAATAGTCAATCGCGTCCTTTTTTTGTTCAACTGAAAGCAGTCGCGGAACCCACCTCGCAGACACCTTGTGGAAACCCAACTCATTGACAATGATGTTTTGAGTTCATTCATAAGAGATGCCTATAATCTCGGCTATCTCTCTAATTTTTAATCTGCGGTCTCCCATTATTAAATCAAGTACTTTTTTAATATTTTCGTCAGTAGTTGACGTCGAAGGCCTTCCAGAGCGGGGTTCATCTTTCACACTCTCTCTACCACTCTTAAATTCTGCTATCCATTTTTTGACGGATGAATATGACAGAGCACAATCGCCTAATGTGCTGACCATGTCATCATGGATGGCTTTTGATGATAGCCTCTTCTTATGGAGGTACTTAATGACGGCACGCTGCTCGATTTGCTCCATTCGCGGAAATTATGTCCGATTACTTTGTTAATAAATTTATAAAATCACAACTAATTATCGCACACGTTTCGAACTTCACACAATGAACTAGTCTGAACTGAACTAAATAATGTGGGTAGATTTGATTTTTAAAATTGAATGGATCTGTGTTAGGCCGAGTACTTTTCAATCCACCTAGGTATATAGAAATATTTAAACGTAATTGTATAATATTTTTTCTTAATTTAGGAAATAATTGAATTCCATCATTTTTTACGTATGAAAACGGGCGTTATTACAGTATTTTAGAAAGATCTAAAACAATTTCAAGTTTATTTAAATTATTTTGTAGTACCTGGTTGACTGAGCTTATATGTTTGTTTGTACTCGTATTGTTTGTATGTTTTGGAAATTATATTAGATACAAATTACATATTGATGAAATATAAATAATATTTTTTGATCTTACCGATATAATAGAAAAAAAACTGAGCTGGTTATTTAAATAAAAAATCATGAGTGAAATTAGTGCAATTTAAATTTTCGAGCGGAACCAGGGCTCCAAAGTCTTTGCCAGAGATCTGTCTGCCAGAAAGAGCCAACTGTCAAGGCTGAAGACTGAGTGTGGCAACATCATTTCCGGGACACCTGAGATTTTGAGTGAGATTGAGAGGTTCTATGGGCAGCTGTACACATCATCGTTGGAGCCACACGCAAGTGTGAGTAACGATCCAAGAGCAAGTCTTATCCGACACTATTCCGATGATATCCCGGACGTCAGTCTAAGCGAGATTAGAATGGCTCTCCAGCACCTTAAAAACGGCAGGGCCCCAGGCGAGGATGGAATTACAGCGGAGCTTCTGAAAGCGGGTGGAACACCGGTACTTGTGTTTAGAAGTAGTCCTTCAGAAGCTCTTCAATTCCGTCCTCCATGGTGGCACTACTCCAGAGGCGTGGAGCAGAAGTGCGGTGGTCTTGTTCTTTAAGAAAGGCGACAACGCTCTCTTAAAGAACTACAGACCGATTTCCCTTCTGAGCCGCGTCTACGTGCTGTTTTCGAGAGTCATTACGAATCGTCTCGCACGCAGACTTGACGACTTCCAGCCTCCCGAACAAGCCGGTTTCCGAAAAGGCTTCAGTACCATAGACCACATACATACCCTGCGGCAGATTGTACAGAAGACTGAAGAGTACAATCTGCCACTTTGCCTGGCGTATGTGGACTATGAGAAAGCCTTTGATTCCGTCGAAATTTGGGCGGTGCTACAGTCCCTTCAGCGGTGCCAAGTTGACTGTCGGTATATCGAAGTGCTGAAGTGTTTGTACAGTAGGGCTACGATGGCTATCCGAGTACAGAACCAGAGCTCGAAACCTATCCAACTGCAGAGAGGTGTAAGACAGGGTGATGTTATATCCCCGAAACTCTTCACCGCTGCATTGGAAGACGTTTTCAAGCTACTGGACTGGAAAGGATACGGTATTGACATCAATGGCGAGTACATCACTCACCTTCGATTTGCCGACGATATAGTCCTTATGGCAGAATCGCTGGAGGACTTAAGCACTATGCTCAATGACCTCAATAGTGCCTCCCAACGGATAGGTCTTAAGATGAACATGGACAAAACAAAGATCATGTTCAATGTCCATGTCACACCTATGCCGGTAGTTGTTGGGAGCACTATGCTCGAAGTTGTTGACGAATACGTTTACCTGGGACAAATAGTCCGACTAGGTAAGTCCAACTTCGACCGAGAGGTCAATCGACGGATTCAACTCGGCTGGGCAGCGTTCGGGAAATTACGGCATATCTTTTCGTCAGGTATACCTCAATCTCTAAAAACTAGATTGTACAACCAGTGCGTGTTGCCAGTGATGACTTACGGATCTGAGACGTGGTCCTTCACTGCTGGCCGTATGAGGACGCTTAAGGTCGCTCAGCGAGCTATGGAGAGGGCTATGCTCGGAGTTTCTCTGCGTGATAGACTCAGAAATGAGGATATCCGCAGTAAAACCAGAGTGACCGACATAGCCCAACGAATTAGTAAGCTGAAGTGGCAATGGGCCGGCCATATAGCTCGAAGAACCGATAACCGATGGGGAAGAAAGGTTCTCGAGTGGCAGCCTCGTACCGGTAGGCGTAGTGTAGGGCGACCCCCCACTAGATGGAGTGACGACCTGGTAAGACATGCAGGAAGTCGATGGATGCAGGTGGCTCAGGACCGTGCTTTGTGGCATTACTTGGGGGAGGCCTATGTTCAGCAGTGGACTTGTGAAGGGCTGTAATGATGAATGATGAAATTTTCGTGTATTTAAAATAAAACTAAAAAGAGGGCTTGAAATAATAGATTTCCTCAAAAAAGAAGGGAATTTGAAAAAAAAACACGAAAAAAAAGTCGGACTGAAGACAGGACTCGAACCAGGGTACTACGATTTCGTGACGTCATTATAATCATTAACGTGCTGTCAAAATTTACCTTCTTATGCTAACGATATTGTAGCAGTTTTTTATTGCCTGAAAACACGGATAAAACGACATTTTCTAAAAATGAATCCTAGCTAGATAGATTTATTGCCTCTGAAACCCCTGGACACAAAATTTTATGAAAATCATTGGAGCCGTTTTCGAAGTTCCGATTTTGTATATATATATATATATATATATATATAAGAATTGCTCGTTTAATTTTAAATTATTTTGTATTCTGTTTAGACGTCAGCATTCAAAGTAGATTGCCATGTTCGTTAGTGTCTGAAGAGCCAAGCAATCCCATAAGTGAGGATAATCCTTCAGTCGCTGAAATACTACGACAATGTGAAGCTTCATGTCCTGCCACGTCGGAGTACAACCCTATATGTGGAACTAATAACGTAACTTATATGAATCGAGGACGACTGGAATGCGCCAAGATCTGTGGAATAGGTAAGAATTTCCTTATTTTTGTGTGAGTATGACAAACGAGCATAGTTCTTATGGTAAGTGGATGCTGTCGACTAAAGACACCTAGTTATGTCTTCCACTAAAATTCAAAATACAGATATGTTGTCACTTACGAGGGCTACGATAGAATATCTCGTTACCAGTAAAAAAGATTTCCGGTTATTGTGATTCACACCACAATTAGCAGCGTATGCTGCTATTTTACGGTGATATTCTGTGAAAGCATGATCCTTTCCTAGTAGAGATAGCCTACATATAAGTGAAAATTCCATTTTGGGAAAATTGCGAATTCTAATAGATGTGGCAATGATACTAACCGGGAAAGCTGTAGGTGGCCCAAAATACCCTTATTCAGTTGGAATAATTTTTGATGCTCTAAAGTTTTTGACAAAAGGCCCACCAGAAAAAGGCTGGCTACAGAGCGATATAATAAATCGGGACTAATAATAACTATACAATACAATAATGACATAATTTTTCTAGACGTAAAAGTGAAACGATTAAGTCCGTGCCCGAAACCTGCCACAACCGAGACACCGTTCATAGACGATATTTACAATCCTAGTGAAGAAGATGAAGATATAAGGACGACTACTACAAGCAATAATAAATTTACGCAGTCTACTGAAGCATCGGATAGACTAAATTTCACCGTACCACAAGATATACTGAATGACATTTTTAATACACCTATAACCGATTCTAATGAAATTGGTATTGATATCAGGCAAAACGAATAATGTTTTAGTTTTGATAGTAAATGATTGAATAACAAATAAAAATATATTACAAATGTGCATACATCTTTGTACTCTTTTATTTCTATTGCCTTATTGTACTTTTCTCTGATCAAAAGTCCTTATGTTTGGGAAATATTGCCATAAGTTATGAAAATCTTAAATATAAAGCATCACTTGAAACAGCTGAACACGGAAGTCTTTTAACTTTATATTTTTGGAATAGCCAAAAAGTAAAATTTTTAAGGAAAATGTAAACTTTACATAAGACGGATAAGTGGAATTATTATTTTATATGAAGGCTAGCGTGTAGTGGCGATGTACACAACAACTTAGAATAATAAAAACTGCACTTACCCACCCGCATGCCAAGCGAGGCAACTATGGGAAATCCCCCACTGTTTTTTCTTGGTCGTTATTAAGAAACCGCTACTGCCCTTCTCCTGATTAATTTCCCTCTGTCATCTCTTACAAGACCCGTGGGATAAATGGGGTAGTGGATATTACACCACCACTATATAGCGGGCACCTCTATAAGAAAACATTTTTGCAGTCAGTGCAGTAGAGAGACGTGATAAGAGGCTCATTGGTTACCTTAATTTGCTTGCTAATCCAAACCAATCTTGTCAGCCTCGAGCACAGGCACAGAGCTGCCAGCCTCTCAGTATTCGACCTCTATAGGATGCATTTCGGCGAGTGTGCGTAGGAATTAGTAGCTTTAATTCTTACCTCTTCTTTCCACCATCGGACAACCAGACGGTGGGCAGGTCTTCACCCCTTTTTAGTTGATATCCCACGCATTTGAACCAAATGGTTTGCTTCTTTTTTCGTAATGCTTACAGCAAAGGAGTGGAATAATTTGCCGGCTTCTATTTTGCCATCTGAAAACGAGTACAATCTGGGCGTCTTCAAAGCAATAGTAAATAGGCTTTTGTTACGCTAAGACAGTGTGATTTACTATCTACGGCTACATCACCAGTTACCACCAGGTGGGATTGTGGTCAAGCACTATCTGATAATTAGTATTAAAACAAAAGGTAAATATAAAAATTTTGTACAAACAACTTCAATATAAATAAATGAGAACATCATCTATGTATTCCAAGTAAGTTTAATACGCATTATTAGGGAGAAATCAAAAACTACTAGTCAGATCTGATCAAATGTATATGGATTAAGAATCACCACCTTTCAAATTAAAAAAAAACTGCAAAATTGGTTCAACTAGAAAAAAGTTCCGAGGTAACACGATAACACACACACCTCTTTTTTGAAGTCGGTTAAAAAAGGGTGGTGTTCTTTCCCTACTTCTCTTTTCCATTTTCATCAATGACCTCACTACTGTTCTCTTCTTTTACTATCATCTCTACGCTGATGACTTGCAACTGTACCGTCACTTCAAAGTCAAAGATAGAGGAGCCTAATAATAAGCTGAATGCTGATTTAAGTAGCATAAGCAGTTGGGTGAAATCCTTTGGTCCTCTTGTTAATCCTGCTGAATTCCAAGTTATTATCATCACAGCTCACATATGCTTAACTTATTAGACCGTTTGAAGATCTCTGCTGTAACTTACGATAATACTCGGAGACTAATAAGAACTTAAGTGTTATCTTTGAATAATGATTTGTCTTGGATTTCTCACATTAATATGATTAGCTGGAGGATGAACTACTCTTTTTAATCTCTCAAGCACTTCTAGATGTTTTTAACGTTAATAACTAAGGTAATCTTAACTCAAGCACTTCTTATCCTTTTCATTGATTACGCTGATGTTAGTTTTCTGGATGCTTTAGAGGAACTGTTGTACAAACTGGAACGTCTTCAAAATTCGTGTATACGTTTAATTTTCAGTCTTTGTAAGTTTGATCATGTTTCAGAGTACAGGGCTCAATTAAAATGGTTTACTAGCCGTAGACGTCGAGACTTACGTGTGTTATTATTTCTTTAATTTTTACTATTTAATTCTCTTGCATCTCCATATCTCCGCGAGCGTTTTGAGTATCTTGTACCTAGCGAAACTCAGTGCCGGCTACTCCTACTTCTTAAAACCTCTTCTTATTTCTCAAGCGATGTGGTGGATCCTTTACTGTGGTCAAGCTATGGAACTCACTCCCATATGGCATACGTACTAGTTCTCTTGATATATTTCGGAACTGAGTAAAGAAATATTATCTATTAGAAAGTAGAAAATATACCTATATTATATACACATGTTAATTGTTAACTATAACTTATAGCCAATTTCTATAAAGTAATGTTTTTGTTAATTATTAAGTACGCGCTGCTATCTACTTGCTTTACATATAAAACTATTTCTCTCTTCTAAAGCGTTTACTAGAACAGAGCTCTATTAGCTCGCCTTTATACATATTATTTAAATATTTAAAATTGTTATCAACTTATAGTGTGTACAATAAAGAATAAAGGCAATTTATTCGAAATTTAAGGTTAGTAATTCCTGTATGACTGAAGGTAGCCGGGCTATGACATTGGAGCGTTAAACATCTTAGCCCCGCCCCCCATCAGCCCCCACTCCAGGTCACAGGACCATGGGTGCTGTAAAGTACCTGAAACGTCGGGAACATAAAATAAGTTAATAAAACGGGACAAAATCCGTATAAATAGTTTATTCAATGTGCAGTGTTCGCGTAAATTTAAGAAATCATTATGCAAAATTTTGGTTTTTATTTTTTAAACACGGAAAGTTTATTTCAAATTAGCAGTATTTATTGATAGATCAATTTCATGATAAATACATGTGTGGCCGTGGAAGGAAAAGGGGAGATTTCCCGCCGGGCAAGGTGTTCTGCCCGGGGAGCGGCCAACGCTCCTTGTGATAGTTCGGAGATGTTCTATATATACTGTTTCTGATTCGGAATGTTGATAGCCTGATTTAGACTTCGGTGTATTTTCACTTGTGGCGCGACGACAGCGCCGCCACATCACCCCCTACTCAGACCGGAGGTCGATAGTGCACAGCCTCGTTTGCCGAAGAATGTGCAAGTGCCAGTGGATTGCCTTGTAGTCTGCGGTGAGTTGAGAAGAAGGCAAGTAATCTGCGAAAGTGCCGTGAAGCAGAGGCGAGCAGTAAAGCTCAGAGCCGTGCCGAACACTGTATGGCGCAGAGAGTATCTTGAAGGAACAGGAAGCATTATTATTCCAGTGCTGCGATGAACCTTGTGAAGCTAGCTGGCTTGCAGGATATGAAGACTGCAGACGATATCTGCTCGGGAGCGAATAGGTTGGGTATTCTATGACGATGATGATGCTTGAAGTTTCCGAAGGTTGTTTGGTTGCGTGTTCAGATCACGTCGGGGTCACCACTGTGGCCGTGGAAGGAAAAGGGGAGATCTCCCGCCGGGCAAGGTGTTCTGCCCGGGGAGCGACCGACACACCTTGTGATAGTTCGGAGATGTTCTATATATACTGTTTCTGATTCGGAATGTTGATAGCGTGATTTAGACTTCGGTGTATTTTCGCTTGTGGCGCGACGACAGCGCCGCCACACATGGAAAAAATGTAAAATATCAGTACCATAGGCTTCTACTCCGTTCACCTGTTCCACACTATTGTTTTCCAAACTGTAAAAAAAAGTCATCCAGTGTAACAGTATGATTACCTATTGTTCTTCTGCGAATCAATGATTATCTTGATCATCATCATCATCGTCATAGCCCATCACAAGTCCACTGCTGAATATAGGTCTTCCCCAAGGAATGCCATTAAGCACGGTTCTGAGCCACATGCATATGTTAGCTTACCTCCATAGTGTATCTATATATTTATCTAAATTAATATCACGCACATTTTCTTGTATGAACAACCATTAATCATGTATATACTTATAAAATTCTTAAGAGGATTAGTCAGAGATTACTCTTACCTTGTACCGTATCCGTGATTTAATATATGAAATAGCGCATTCGTATTCATGACACTATTATACAGGTAAAGGATTTAGAGGGACTAGGATACAAATTATGATTAAGTTTCGCAAATGCAACATTTGAATGCAATTTATAATTAATCAATAATTTACAATTAATTAATATATAAAATATAATATAAATATATAATAAATTAAATTATAATAATGCTAAAAACCAAAAAATAATAATAACATCAGTAAATGGGCTTACGCTCGCAGAATACCAGCGTGTAACATTTGCATAATGCTGCTGTGTTTTGTATGATAGGTAACGTAAATCGAAGATGATGTGAAATTTCATCCTACTGGCCACAGTATCCACATACCGTCAGGAGGACTGTGTACTGTGTGAAAGTCTTATTTGTATAAAAATATAGTAGTAAGCTTGGACCGTCTATTTTAAATGTTTCATAACATACAGTTAATAGATGTATTTATATAGATTTGGCAAATATATATAATATAATATAAGGCCAATAATTAAGTATATTTTAATCAATTTGATAAGTTGGACTTTAATCGATGATGGTAAACGTGTTAGCTTAAAAAGTTCATGGTATTTCACCAACAAAACGATGGAATCCTTTCGTTTGTGAAAAGAGTAGTGAAGAATAAAATTCTTTAATTCTTTAGTTCAAAGCTTATCTATACTGAAATTTTATTAAAAAAATGGACCATATTTCCGTCCCACTGTTGGCCATAGAACGCCTCTTATTTCTAAGAGTGCTTAGGAACAAGTCCGCAACAGTTTTCCTTCACGTTCAATGCCGAGGAGAGTAAATGGGCACATAAAATTAATATACAATTTCAATAGTCGACAGAGATCGAACTAGGATATTTTGCTTATTAATTTTTTTTTAATTTATAATAAAATTTAAGGCGATTACCCGACTCTTTGTTTAGAAAAATATTAAAAATTATTATAAAATCTAAAAATATTACAAAAACCCAAAAATATCACAAAGAACTAGAAATTAAGCTTATAACGTGAACAAAGTGCCTAATGTATAGAGTTCAGCATATTTTTTAATAATAATAATAAGTTTATCATTTCCGTTTTTCAATATTTTATTG